GGACACTGACCCAACATAGGGACCTTTTTTTATAAAATTGCAAATATATTTCAGGCCAAATTACAAGAAACAGATACTTCCAACACTAAAATTGATGTAAGAAAAGTTTTTGGGTATTTCTCTCACCAATTTACCATCCATTTAGCTAATTAAATAAAAAATTACCTCCAGCATAGAAGGACTTCCTTCTCTCTTTTTGACTTGAATGTTATTTTCACAGAGAATGCCAACATTTCTATGTACTGTTTAGAGGTATTGTCAGTATTCAATTCCCCAAATGTCCATATTGCGTTGAAATATATTGATTGGAAGCAGTTTAAATTGGGAGAAAATTTTCATTTCCATGGAATTATGGTGAGTATTTTGTACAGGAAACACCAATTAAAAAGTATGTAATGTAAGTCTAAGAGAAAATGAGACTCAACTTATAGGGACATTTCAATTTTAGAACGATCTTGATGCACCAATCACTTCCGCATCTCGGGGTCTCACTGTATTCACAGTAGTTCATCAATCTTTTGGGGCTATTGCATTTCATTTTTTTTAATGCATGTCTGTACGTTTTGTCACAGGTTTTTTGCTCGCGTCGATTTTTTTTTATTGCTTGTAACGTAGTCTGCTTTTGTCTCTTTCTTATAGATTTATTCGTTGTCGTGCAAAAGTCGGGAGCTAACACACACAAACGATTATACAGGTTGTTTACAAGGCGGAAAGAGCTGATCAGGATTGACTGCGTTTAAGACACTGACATAAAAGGAAAGCTAATCTTCATTTGCTCATTCATTCGTTCATTCTGGGCTCCGCAAACGGGATTGAGTTCCAACAGAAAAGCTTTATTCGGGTCACGAAAAAACCCGGCCCCGCAATCAATCCCCTTTCGCCCGACCCACAGGAGAGAGGGAAAAATTTAAGTGCGGCCCACTTGAACCAGGGATTCAGAGGGGGGGGGGGGGGGGGTTATGCAACAACAATGCTCATATGAAGTTGTGTGACGACCAGATGGTCCCCATAATGGGAAGGGTCTTTTTAATTTAGCAGAAGTAATGAAAACAATGTCTTTTTTTGCGCAGATTGGCGATTTTTTTTCAAATTCCAAAACAGCTTGGTTTTTTTTTTAAATTCGAGCCATTTTTGGGTTTCTGCTGAAAATCCAACTGTTGAAGTATAATTCAACTTTGATAAGTTAACCCTTCTGTAAGGCATTGCAAGGATTTATTTGCACAATTTCAAATTGAAAAACCTAGTGTGATGAGAAAAACCAAAGTCCAGCTTTAGGGGTTTATTTCAAATGAAGAGACGTCTCTTTTTTTTGGAACTTTTTATTAAATTAGGTGAGGTTTGAAGTTAAAATAAAAAATTTCGTCAGTTAAGTGTGTTGGAAGTATGACCTTAGCAAATTTTTTTATTCCTTGGCTATGTTTCAATTTTTAATGTCTGTTTTGAGGGTTTGAATTTGTGCAGAAATGTTTCATTGACTCATTGTTCCCTTGTGCTGTTTTCAGTTTTCCTTGAGAATTGTGTTATTCATTTGCTATCCAATCAGAATGATTTATAAAATAATAAATCATTCTTTAAACACTAAAATCATACATTCAAGGTGTACCCCTGAATGTATGCTTTTTACTGCAAAGCTGCAGATTGCTGGTGTTATGTATTTCCACTGTGCCATTATCACCTGATCTTTTGTTTGGTTCCATTAGCAAGCCCTTGGGCAGCAGTGGATCCTTTTCTATTGAGCAGTGGTGCTGGGATTTTTTTGCATGCATGTAAATTTTGGCTTGACTTAAGGTCACCAAGATGCAGCTTTGGCTGTGCTGTAGACAAAGTTGTGAAAAATCTGGGAAATGGAAAGACATTGTTCTGAAGATCCCTCAATGTTGATCCTATTGTAATGGGCTGACTAGATGTTGCCTGCCACACACCATGGAAAACCACAATGCACAAAGGTACAAGCATGGTGCACTATGGTACAACAGCATAATGTTTGTAAAGACTGTTCTTTTGAAAGGTGGTTCACTTAGTAGTGAACCACTTTTCTTAGTAGTACTTAATATTTGTGTCTTTTACACTTATTAAAATGTGTGGAACCACCTTAGAAGGTGGTTCTAGGACCAAGACCTAGGAATCAACACAACCAGGAATCCTCATTCAAAGCTTTACCCTCATGATTGGGGAAATTGGTGCACACTGGGGATATGTTTGTAATTCTACGCAGTGACCCTGCTGTGCACCTGAAGTGTACCAAAGTTCTTCTGTTGCACACGCATATCCCTAATGTGCACCAATTTTGTGTTCACACCAGGATTACTCAGGGTCACATTTGTAAACAAATAAGTTACATCAAGGTTACAGTTGGTGCATTTGTGTGATACTCCTGTTATGTCATATTTGTGCACCAAGTGTTGCCCAGAAATGGTAGCAAAATTTCCTCTACAGGAGTGCACACTTGTAAATCCAGAATATCCCATATGCACCAGTTGTGACCTTGGCGTACACCTACTGTGGGGTCACAGCAAAAATAGCTCCCTGCTTGGGAGCTGCTGTGAACAGGACCTGCAATTTGCGTGAACTCGTGAAACTGAACTTGTGCAAATACAGACTGATTGAAAAGCTGTTGTACTGACTCCTCACACTGCAAATGGCCAGTAGTGCATTCCAAATTCATTTATAACCTCAAATCAATTCTTTGCTGGTGAGGTCTTTGGGACCCACCACACCTATGGCAGGAATATAAAAAATTTCATCCAACAGTAATTTTTAAAAACATTTTTTAATGAAAATATCTCTGAAGGAATGCAAAAAGAATCAGGATTCTTCCCATCTTTGGCTATTCCAATCATTTTGGTTTTCTCAATTTTTTCACTTATTGTAGCACGCTTATTTTTTTATAAATCCCCACCCTTCCGCCCAACCCAACTTTTTCTGGTTGTTCACAGTGTTTAAGTACTAACTACTCTAAAACTCTGAGAGATAGATATCTAACAGACGTTATAAAGTAAGTACTGGAGATGGAAGTTTATAAACTTCGGGAGGTGGAGAATTTCTCATATGATCAATGAGCACTTGAAAAGTAAATCACGGTATTCATAAGCCACCAAAAGCTTGCTGCCACCTTGAGATTCCCTCGTTCCAGTGCTTGCACACCCAACTACTAAAAGTTCTGAAGCCGTTACTGAGCAAAAATGTGAATGAAAACCCCTTGAAACCCCGGCCTGAAGTGAAGAACTTGACGAGAGTCTCGCCTGAATAAGTGAACAGAAGGTACATAAAAGAAAGGCTTCTCGATAGCGTCATGTTCGGTTCCTTTTGTACTATATTAGGCAATAATTCTTTAAAGAAAGATTGTTGAAACGTCAATTTTTACAATATTTTTTCTCACTCACGCCTCTAATACTTCTACACCAAATCGCCTATACTGTAACTTTAAATCCAGGTCAGGTGTTTGGATGAGAAGCATGCAAAAGTGTTGACCAAAATTTCCCAGTGTACAATTCATTCAATTCGTCGAAAACTGTTTGCTAAAATTGTTTAAAAAATCACTTTACGTCAAAAATGTAAAAGCGTCACGCTTTACATTTTTTTTCTTTCGAAAAGACAATTCTCCGGAATATTGCTCAAGAATTCCTCAAGCCCACACCTGCCAAATACGTTGAAATTTTGCCGATGCGGATTTACAGTATTCTCATTTTCAGGGATTTATAGATTTGAATTTTCAAAGTGAAGAAAAAAAGGAAATATGGTTCATTCGTATCTTTAAAAATTTTTGCTTGGATTATAAAAATCCAATTTGCATTTAAAATGCGGAATGTCGTGCCCGACATTTTTTTTCACTGAAAAGATAATTCTCAAAAGTAATGCACAAGAATTTCTTAAGACCCACCTGCCAAATGCGTCCACATTTGGCAGGAGTTTAATTTTTAAAGTTCCAAGTGAAGAAATAATTGAAATGGCCCGAACTTTTGACCCGAAATTGCATAATGTTAATAAAGCGAAAGCTAATTCCTCTCGAAATGTTAATTTTCACACAAAAGAGAAAGGGGGAAAAAACCATTGGTGCATTCATTGGATCATACATGCCACAAGTTTCTGCGAAATTTCTCAATCACAAGCACAGACGAAATTAAAAGAAATGTTTTCTAGTAATATGACTCATGAATAACTCGAGAATTTCACAGGAAACCCCGAACGCCAAAAAACCCGGATCTTGCCAAATTTTTCTCCGTTATACCCAGATGCAGCATTTCTTAGAACTGCGGATTTTTTGCGTGCGTGTGAAAATTTCCGCCGAAGTCCCGCTGATTCACAAATGATTCCGGCAGCAACAACAAAATTGCGCAATCTTTCACGTCGACCGATTTTATTCTCGGGGGTTTTGAAATATTTTGGTGCACTTATTCAGGATCAGTTTCAAAAATCTTGCGGCAAACCAAATAGAGTTCACTTCAATTCCGTAAAAAAAAAAAATCGCACAGGATTTGGAAAAGAGTCGTTTAGCTTAACCGACAAATAATTTCGAAGTTTTAAATTTTCATCTCGCTACAATCGTAGGGAAATATAACTGCTTCAAAGGTATCCAAGAAATTAAATGAGCCAATTTTCTCGTTCCACATTTCACCATTCAAAATTGCTTGGAACAGTGGAAAAAACCATTGCCTAAAAAATGAAATAAAAATTGCTCGCCCTCAGACAATTTTCACGATCAAGAACTGGACAATGTCATAACCCACGGACAAGTCTCATTGAAAAACAGAAACAAAAACAAAAAAGAAACCGACCCTGAAAGTCAGCTCGTAAAAATTCATTCTGACCACACACACGCGTATAATTTGCTCCTTCAAAGAAATTACACAGAGCCCGCTTCAAAACAGTGTGTATTTAAAAAAAGACAGGAGTTCTTCACCCGTGTTTTTCCTGCCTTGACGGAAAAAAAATGGTTTGCTCTTGGCCCAGTTTTCATTCTTGTTTTCGTTACTTTTTGTTTTTTTAAGGATAGAAATTACCGATTTCCGCACTCTGCAACATCCAGCCCCTCAGGGGACCAGACGGATGTGACTCAACACCCAGCTTTCCTGGGACTTTACGCTTCACAGCATCTTCATTCACAATGGAAGTGAGCAAAGAAAATTATGTTGACCAGGAAAACTTCAATTTTCAAATTCTTCACTAAGATGAATGAGGCACTGTATTAAGAAGGCTGATTAAAAATATGGTATGTTGCGAAAAGAACTATAATGGAACCGTTAGGAATTGGCATGATATAAAGATATTTGCGCAAGCATCATTTGATTATTCTGGGCATTTGAAAAGAAAAAAATTAGGTGTAGTGTAGGGGAACCTCTTAAAGGTTCCTTCAAAGACCAGTGAAGGTCAATTATTCTTGTTAACCTGATGATCTTCTGGAACAAGAGGTGATTAACTTACTCTAAACCAAAAAGAGAGAATAAACTCATAATCCCAATTACTGGTAGCAGTGGTTCCCTTTCAAGTAACCCACCCCAACTCTTAACCATAATCCCAATTACTTAGGATATTTGACCTATGTGACTTATTTCTATCAAAGGTTCTCCTCAACCAATAGAAAATCACTTCAAAAAAATTGAAGAAAAATTTCCTAAGGGTTTTAAATTAACCCTTGCGTGGCAAAGTTGCCATATTTTTTCAAGATTTTGTGCCACTGAGCAGTGGAGAATTCTGGCCCATTCAAAAGGAAATGTTAATCAAGATATTTGAAAGGGTGACTTATTTCAATCAATTAAGGTCCTCCTCAACCAAAAAAATCACTCAAACAAAATTAAAGCACAATTTCCCAAGGGGTTTAAATTGACCCTTGTGTTTCAAAGTAGTGATATTTTCTGCAAAATTTTGTGCCACTGAGCACTGGTGATGAAAAAATCTAAATTTTGTGGACCTATAAGTCTGGAAAATGCGCAACATCTTTAAAAAATACAGTACACTGTAGAAACATTTTAATGAAAAATAAAATGAATCCCTCACTGGGTGGTATTTTTTTCTGCATCCCTGGCATGAGATTTGCATTGTAGGTTCCAGAAAACAATAGAAAATTTGCCTCCCTCATTTTTCCTGACTTAGCTCTTCTGAACCTGGGAGAATTTCAGTGACCCTGGTGTGCTAGAATAGGCACAAAAGGCAGCGCGGAATTTGAAATAAAACACTGCAATCAGGTGTGGGGTTCACCTGGGGATCTTGTTTTCAAGATCCCAAAGAATAAGATGAAATGTATTTCGTTTTAAACCCCAAAGATCACAATCACAGCAAAGATAATCACACAATCAAAATCAACTAAACTGGACAATCTCTCTTCCAGTACTGATCTGGAGCTTCCCATGGAAATGGCAGCAAGTTGAGGCTATGGAAAACCTGAGAAAGGTCTCAAATGTTTGAGATTAATTGAGCATATAGACTTATGGTACTTTTACGTACCGAATTATTCCGCCACACCTGGCTCACACTGAAATGTGCTACCCAAAAAAAGTATGCTTCTGATGCACAATGCAAAGCAACCTTCCAATGTCCATGGGTTAACCATTTCAAAGTGTTTTAAATCATTGTTCCCCAAAAACCCATGGTCCACAGATTGATACAAGTCCACAGACGTTTTTCCTGGTCTGTAAGAAAAATTCTACAGCACAATGAATTGATCAAAAGTATCTATGAAGTTTGTTATCTGTATCTGAAATTTTGGAGATTATGGCAATTGAACTTACGTGAAGGAATTAAAACATTGGCTTTTCCCCTAATAACACTTCAGACTACTTTTAACCAGCTGAAATAAATTACTGTACTTTAATTTCTCCTTCTGAGAAACCTTTCTTCAAGCCTACCTTGCATTACTTTGAAATTCAACTTTAACCGTGTTGATTGAGCAACAAGGTTAAAATTATATGTAACTTGGCTTGGCTGCAGAAAATGTTTTGCAAATTTGCCAGTCTGCAAACAAAGCACTTGTCTGTTGGCCCAACAAGGTCAAAGAACTCTGTTCTAAGTTAACTAGGGACAAATTGGCTACAGAATAATGTCAAGAATATGAAGTTTGTATGAACTACTTTCCTATTTCAATAAGATAAAAGGGGGAATATGGGGGCAAGGTTATAACTAAGCTTTATTGTCAAGGATTTCCAGAAAATGAGCCAATTCACAATATTCATGAAGGAAATTCATTGAAAATCAGGAAAGGTGTTCAAAGAATGCTTGTGTGGAGTTGAAAATTTTCAGTCTTGAAATAACTCTTGATTGCACTTGGATGCAAATCATTCAATATGTATTTAATTATTTGTGTTTCCCAGGATAGCGGGCTGGTTTATTGAAGAGAATCTGAGGCAGTTTTCCAAAATTATTTCCTTTCCTCACTCCAACCAGAAACTGAACAGAACTTTTTTTGTTGCACACCCTTCAAACTGCAAACCACTGAGAAAACAGTCGAACCGTTCAGGATTGACCTCAACTCCTCTTTCATAAAAACTACCCCGATCCATGCTGCCCATCAAGTTAAGCATCTCTATTTACAAAATGCCAAAGATCTCAAAAAAGGGGCGCAAATAACACGAGTAATTTCCCGATTTTTCGTTATTAAAAAAAAAGAGTGCGGAGGTCGTTAGCGAAACTCACAGGCACGATTGATAGCGTGCCAAGGGGGGAAGGTTAGGGCAAAAGAGAGTGACTCAATCAACACGGTTTCGGAAATAATGAATGACTGCGTTTGGCCTTGGATTCTTGCTTTATTTTATTTTTGTTTCTGTGCTCAAATTGCATTTTTTTCGCGGCTTGCAGCCCGTGATGAACTTTTGCACGGGTCCGAGCAATGAGCGATGGCACGCGTGACCGGTTGGCATTTCCCGCACGCCCCCAGTTCATCACTTGGACTTTTGATTGCAGTCAAAAAGAAAAGAAAAAATGAAGAAGAACGAAAAAGTTAATGATCCCAACTTTGACCAGAACCGTGATTAAAAGTCACTTCAAAAACCCGCACGCGTCCACCGATTTGGCGCGGAATCCACTCCGAAAAAGACAGACGTCTTCACCAACATCTGGAACCAATTTGGGAAACGGATTCCTGAAAATGAAATGCCAAATTTTTGCGTTCGCGCCATCGTTTTATTTGTATCGAGATTTTTCTATTACAGTGAGACCCCCACGTGCGGACACCTCGACATGGGGACAATTCAACTTAGGGACATTTATTTTTGAATAAAAAATCATTAAAATGGCCCAACATACGGACACTAACTCGACATGAGGACATTGCAAGATAAAATTACCAATACATTTTTTTAAAATTGACTTTCATTAGGCTTAATTGCAAGAAAGAGATATTTCCAACTCTAAGATGTTTCCCATTACTTTCCCATCCATTCAGCTGATTTAAGAAAATTACCCATGGTACAGAGGAACTTCCTTCTCTTTTTGTGACTTGGATGCTATGTTTACAGATGCCAAAATTTCAATGGACTGGACTGTGGTATACTATTCCATGCTCCAAATTTCCTTATTGGTTTGAAAAGATATTCACTGAATCAAATTCAAGTGGCAAACAAATTTTTTTTCATGGAATTCTGGAGAATATTTCTCACATAAAACACCAATTAAAAATTGTATAATGTAAGTCTATGGGAAAACAAGACTCAACTTATGGACAATTCAACTTAGGAACACTCTTGATGCACCAATTATGTCTGCATCTGGGGATTATAACAATGTTTTGATGGGGAAACTTTCATTGAAGGGTATTCAATTTCAGCAAGTTTTTGAATAAAAAATGAAACCTCATATGAGGCGAAAATTATTTATATCCTCAAAATTAGTCGAAGAATCCTTAAAAAAATCCCTCCATTTAAATGTGCAATAAGCATGCTTCAATGTGCCATAATCATAGTATTTGAATCTGGATCAAATGCTAAATAATGTGCTCTAGAGAAAATGAACTGCGATTTTGTAGGCGTGATTTTAGAATTTTCAAAGCCAGAGTTTCAAGAAAAAGGAAAATCAAACAGAATTAAATCCAACAGTTCTTCAATGAAATTTCGAATTTCTATGCAGAAAAAAGGCTTAAAGTGTTTGGGAACCCGGATTAAAAATACTTCAAAAACCACTCAAACCAGTATTACTCATACAATTTCCAAGATTTCTGGTTCATTGGACCAAAAAAACTCAAAAATTACTAATTACAAACTTTAAAAATTATGCTGAATAAAAAAACATTACATCAAGTTGTACAGTTTTATCAAGAGAAGGAATTATTCAAGCTGTACACCTTGTCAAATATTAAATGCAGAAGTACTTGATTAAATTATAAAATTATAGTGACAAGAAATTGAGACAGAACTGATGAGTCAGAAATCAGATGATGGTTTTCTGAGGAAAAGAAAATGAATTCAACACAGCAATTGGCCGGTGTGCAAACCAACCAGGGATTCTCTCCCAAAAAGTGCAAGCCTTTGTTAAACAGTTCAGCAAAAAATTTGATCACAAGTACAAGAAATATTCACAACAGTGAGAACAGCAAACACGTACAACAGTTTTCCACAAATTTAGATTTTTCTGTAGAGTACGAGATTCACAATGCAACAAAATGCTTTGACTCTAGAATTTGGACTGTGTTTTGCTCAAGAAATCAGGGGGTTTTCATGCTAAAAATTGGGGGAGAGGAGGAGTAGTACCTGCAGAATGTCCCAGAAGTTGGGCAACAAAAAGTTGAAAACACCAGGTGCTGGTGTTTTTCGACTCAGGATATTTAGTAGTTTGAAAGATATAATTTGGTGTACCTGTTTTCCCAAGAACCGGGTGTTTCTTTTAGCTTGTAAATTTTGCAAGGCTGTGCAAATTTTGAGGACAAGGATAAATTACTTTAGAGTTACTTCTTGAAAACACTTGATGTTGGGCGGGTTGTGTTTCTTGGATGACAAATGGTTCTCAGAACCGAAAGAAGGGAAAAAACATAGCCAGCAGCTGGCAAAATCTGGACCCCCTTTTTACAAGTAGGAAAAACGGGGGTTGTATGATCCCTGGTTGAGAGGAAAGGATCAATTACTTGCAAAAAGAGATTGTTCTTAAAATGTTTGCAATCTTTTTATCTTGCCGCCCCATCAAGGGGATTATTTTGCAGTTTTAGGCGCGTCCCGCAACGCACGGATTAAATTTCAAACTCGTACTTTTTGTTGCCTTTTTCAGGGATTTCATGACTGCCGCCAAAGTTGGCGGAAAAATTCCGCACAAAAGTTACAGGTGACTTGAATGCCGTAGAAAACTTGAGGCAATTTCCCGGTAATAATTTTTAAAAAATTGACTACTTAGCACGTTATTCTTCATACAAGTAAGATTGTGACTTTGGGGAAAGTTTTCAGAGGCATCGGAGCAAACGTATTTATTAATTTGTTCAACTTTCAACTCAATTTCAAAAATGACTGCAAAATCTGCAGTTAATCCACTATAATAACGTCCTGCTCGGAAATTTTCTTTTCAGTGAGGCGTGGATTTTCGAAATAAGGACGAAAACTGATCGGAAATCATTACATAAAATCCGGAATGCAACTTTTTCCATCAAAATTTCTCATCCGTTATGAATAATTTGCGATGTGAAAAATGCAACAACGGGATTTGCTGGCTAACGTTTCTCTCCCTGATCTTTTGAAAATGTATATTGTCTTGTTCAGCTGGAAAACTAAAATAAAATTATTGTCTCATCAGCTTCTTGTTAATTTCGATAAACGGGAATTGCTGTAATTAAAAATACCGTTTCCACCGGAAATTCCTGAAAAGAGTAAAAAAAAAACCTAAAAGCTTGATATTCATCCCGAGAGAAATTAACAGTACAGTAACTGTCAGGAATGATTTTAATAGAAAATAAATTTGAATAAGTTCAGAAATGAATGTGACAAAGAATTTGGTCAGGCTGCAATTGACCGGGTTGATGTTTCATCCAATACTTAAGGTTGTTGTAATTTGTACAAACACAATATTTGCAAAATTGCTGGAGTGTCTCATACAAGAGCTCAGGAAGAAGTGAAGTTTTAGATGAAGTAGGAAAACAGGAAAACTATCCTTTGAGGATAAATAAGTTTTTTGGACTTCCAGAAATTTGGCAATGAGAATAACCTTGGAGGTTTTTGGGAAAAATGGGGGTGTCAACCAGAGTTTTTCCCAGTTTTCAGGAAGATGTATGAGGACAAGTTTTTCTGAGAATTTGGATTCTTCAGTTTAGTATTTATAAGCGTAACAAATTATGTTCTACCGTTTATTTGTGCAACAGTCGCTTCATTCAGTAGTGAGGAATTTTACAATCCTTCTTACAATACTGCTTGAAAAATGAATGAAAAATCTGAATCATACGATTTAATCCCGTTGAATGCAATTTAACCTTGACCAAGGAATATCTAATCTAATCATCACTGGCCCACCACTGCGGGGCTATAATTTAAAGTGCAGCATTTCTTCCGTGTCAGATCAAGATATGAACAACCTTCGAGATACTTTGAAACGATTGGTTATTTGATTGTTGAATAAACATGAGCACTAAGTTTCTTAATCCATTTCAATGCTTTGAAATGCAAGAACTCAGATTCATTCATTATCATTCATTGCCAAACAAGTGGGAAGAATAATTTATTCCCCTAACTCGAGATTTCAGGAGATTATTTAAAGCAGAAATTAATTTTCTGAAAAACGTGATCAATTTTTAGATGATTTATTTCGATTTCGATTGCGAGTGATTCATTTGAATTACAGAAGATTTTCTTAGATTTTCCGGACACAAAATTGAACATTGCGACTTTCAAAAAAGTTCAACTTCCATCCAGACCGAACTTGAAATAATTCGCAATCGCGGTACTTGCAAAATAAAATTCTCCGCATTTTTTTGCCGCTACAAATTTTATATCTCAGTTATCATTTTTTTGGCTTAGCAAAGGGACAAGTCAAGGAATGCACTGCAAAAATTTTGCAACAGATAATGACTCGGATCAGACCAGGTCGTAAAAGTCGGGAGTCCAAAAAAAAATTCGGGGACGTGCGCCGTAGAACGTTCGCCACACCCTGAAGAAATCTGCATCTTATTTTCGCGATTTTTAGTGCCGAAGGCAGCGCTTTCCATTAAAAATGCAAAAATCGATGCATGGCATTTTTTTCTAGCCACACATGTACTTGAAATGTGCATTTTCGAAAAACCGGAGTGCGTTTCTGGATTATTGCCTCTGACCGCTGAAAAAAAAGGAATTTCCTAATCGTTCATTTCGCAAGAAAAAATCACTGTCAAACAAAATTCAAATCTCGAGCCTTGAAATCTGAAGACAGATCTTGAATATGCTGATTTCTGTGACAGTCATGAATCTTTGGCGAAAAAAAAGGAATAGAAAAAAATTGAAGATTTCCAAAATTTTCTTCTCAATTTTTAATACAAAATATTTTGATCTTCATTTGTTGCGATTTTCAGAAACCGGTGTTGAAAAACATCTCATATTTTGGCTCAACCATGACGGAGAAAACACTGTAAAATAAAAATCCATTTTTAAACACTATCATAGGCAAAAAAAATCGCAAGAATTTTTCAGAGCCTTTTTAAGAAAAAAAATTGCTAGAGAGTTGGTTTGTATTAAATTGGCGGATATTTCTTTGCAAATTGGCAGCATATGGGTTTCAGAGATGAACAAAGGTGAACTTTTAGATAAGTAAACATTTGAGAAAATATGACTTTTTGATGCCTTGGTGGCCCATTTCTTTGCCATTTACAGTCTATTTTGTTTTTTATTTATCAATTTATTTATAAATACAGTATAGTCAACCCCCACACAATGGACTTATTTCATACAACAGACTAGTCTGTTATGTAAAATATCTGGAATGCTGGGCATTAGAGAAGAAGATGCTCTGGTGATGCAGTAGCCAGCATATTTACACTGCAGGAATTTCACCACTTAGAATTTTTTTGAGAATTCCAAGCATATGAAAATACCCTTTTTTAAACAACCTCCTAAAAAAAATTTCATTTGAACCAAAACATACTGGTGAAAATCAGTGATATGCCTATTATATATATGTTTCCGCATAAAAAATGATTGCGCAATTCGGCCAAAAGTACTGGCATCTATGCCCTGCTGGTGCCAATCAAAAATGCAAATCACGATGAATTACGAGCTGACATCATCAGCACCTGCGTGGAATTCCGCACCTGTCCAGTTTCGAATTCCTTCCTCCATGGCCCAAGGCCAAGGTCCCATTCACGTCACCAGGTAGTCTTGATTGATCATGTAGCTTGAAAGCATGATTACTATGAAATGCCTGCTCAAATGCCCACATCCTGCTCAGTTTCTTTGCCTTCAGCACGTGATTACCTGCGATCTTAACAAATCTTCCCGAGGTTTTTCTCAGCTCGCTTTTTAAACAGTACCTCAAATTAAACGAAAGTGACGATATTTTTCCTTGATGTCAAAATTAATAGTAATAAAAAAACTAGGAAAATTGAAAAAATTAGGAAACTAGAACCGTTTTAAAGAGAATAAGAAGAGCATTTGATTCATCTAAAAGCAAAGAACAGGGCTATTTTTCCCTCAAACCCAAACATTTTTCTTCTCTCCTAAAAATATTTGATACTTTGCGTTATTATGTATGTTATATTCTGTATTTTAACGAGAACATCTCTGCAAAAAAATTAATTGATCCAAAGCATTTGAAGCAAAAGCTAAGAAAATTTTCCTCAATGTAAAAAAATAATTTTTTCCTCAACAAAAACCTTTAAATACTTGAGGACCACCGATGTGACCGTTATGAAGAGAATGTTGCTTATTTATAGCAGACCATTTGATTTATTCAAGAGCAAAAAGTGATGATGCCAAAAACTATTATTCACTCTGTTATAAAGAGAATATCGCTGTAAAAGAGAGTTTCATTCGAAACATATAAAAGCAAAGGCGACGATATTTTCTTCATCAGGAAGAATTATTTCATCTTTAAAATACTGCCTTGACACCAAAAATTTGGCAGTTATATGAAGAGAATAGCTCTGCAAAAGAGCGATTGATGTGAGCCATTTAAAATGAAAACGGCGATATTTTTCTTTGATCAAAACATTTATCATCTCTCAAAAAAAAATCTCGATAAAACTCTGGCACCAGAAATATGACCGTCAAAACGAGAACATTGCTTCAGAAAAGCTATTGATCCATCTAAAAAAAAAAGCCGGATGAAGCCAGTGTTCGGGTGTAAATCAGAAAAAAATAAATGAACAAGAAAAATTAAAATTCCATGCGTCGGAATTTTTTGCCATTTATCCTCTCGACAATTTTCGGTGAAAAGGAAATTTTATGAGCTTTCTGCTGCGCCCGATTCTTTTCAGTGACTTGGCGGAATTTTACGGCATAAAAAAGGGCTTGAACTAATTTTCGGAGTTGCTCAATCAAGGAACAAGCATTAAAATACGATTATGTGCTTGGAATAGTGTCATTTCATTAATCCCCTCCAGAAATTAAACGGAACACATTTCACACAGTAAGTAACTTGAAGTCTCACTGATGGGCTCAGGAATGGAGCAAAGTAAAAATTTGATGTTATCAAATTTGAACTATACGGTTATTTGTGTTGTTCCCCAAGAAATCATCTCAAGTTTTTGTTTCGTTGGAAGTGAGAAACATTGTCTTTGACCAAATTTTTCCTGGCCACAACTTGGCTGACCATGTATAAAAAATTCATTTGTAAATTTCCCGTACCCTATTTAACTCACACATTCTTAAAAAAAAACATCCCAATACTTCCACTGAGTTGTTACGTTTGAGCTGAAGTTGTTTTCAAAATGCGTCATGAGTTTGTCAGTTGAGATTCTACTAAATTAATTTGGAAAAATTGACAACAGTTTTAAGCTCCACCGTTCCTTCTTGTAGAACTCTCAAGTTCTGGCAGATGAAACAGCATCAACTTCAATTTTCAACCACTCAGACGAACACAGAAATATTTTTGTTAGAAAAATAAAGTAATTTTCACAAAAATTTCCTCAAAAAGAAAATAAATATTGAAAAAAGAAGATATTATTTCTGTTATTGCGCGTGAATTATTTTGCATGACTTTCTATGCTAGATTTGAAAAAAAAACTGCATTGTGAATTTCTATTGACACTTTATTACTGATCTGCCACCTAATTTCATTCCTCTTGCATCACATGCTCAATAGAAACAAAAATGTTTCAGAGTGGACACCGTTTAATCACGCATCATCATATCTGAAGTCACTCAGCGTCGAGAAATCAGTCAAGCAACACTTGCCATCAAGTACCTCATGATCCAGGCAGGGTTTTATTTTATTTTATTTCACAGCTCAGCCTTGAGGTTCTGAACTTAAAGGGGGAAATAAAGGAGACCACTTTGGACATGGTCAAGCCAAAAATCAACCACCCGTCGCTATTGCGCCGGATTATATTTTTTTTACACAGCATGCCCCGAGGCGGGGAGAACACTTTAGGGGCCCTTGATGTCTTCGAAAGGTGAGGTCGTGGATATGCCGTAATGAGAACCGCAATCATTACTTTTCGCAGTAAATTGCCCC